AATAGGTCTGACTCTATCCTGAGTTGTAACCCGCAGATTCCCACAGACTGGATGGAATTTAGCTCTGTTAAAGCTAAGGGAGTCGTTTGGCTGATCTTTTTTGCCCACAAAACTTGTTCCTTGCAGGCCAAGAAACGCTCTTGCTCAATCCACAGCTTTGTGAGGAAAAAACCCCACGAAAAATAGCTCTTGTCCATGCTCAGTTATTTTGGGTTATCAGTTTCAATTTTCATTTCACCCCTCTATTTGCAGCAATGACTGTTCTCTGAAGATGTTCTGCCTTCAGCAGCTGGGCTGCAGCAGTCAGAGAGACTCCCAGGATGTTTGGAGTCCTGCTGTGCCTGGTGCCAAATGTCCTGTTAAAGAGGCATCAGTTATCCCTACAGAGCTCCCAATGATGCTCTTCACCTGTGCTGAGGGCTGAGCAAACCAAGGATTTAGACAGCATTGGATTTTCCTCCCTCTTCCAAATTTCAGTGTCTTATTTTCTGCAAGTGTGAGCACAGCAAGAAGCTTCTGGTGTAGGATTTAAACAGACTTCAGGTGGGAGGCGAGAGATACTCCCTTAATGTACAAATGAGAAACTGAGGCACAGAGGGACTGAAGGATTCACTCCACGACTGAGCTATTCCCAGAGTCTAAGACAGAGACAGGAATAGGGATTATATGATCCAGAGTTAGAGCACCAAATCCATCCTGGGAAATCAAGATTCATTCCTCATCCCTCCTGCTGCCTCCCTGGATGGTGTGGGTGGAGAACGTGTCTTATCCCAAAGGGGTAACACTCACGGGATGCTTTTGTGGCTTAAGAAGATGAAATGGGGTTCATGATCTCTGGAAATGGGGTCAGTGACCCCATCTTGGGGTACATTGCAGTTCTTCTGGAAGGGTGTGAGCCCCAGGGACTGTAGGGATGCTCCCACCTCCTGTCTCTGGGAGGCAGAAGGTGAGAATGGCAGGACTGGCCAGTCTGGAGCCAGAAGGTGTGTTGTTCAACTTATTCCCCGATTGCTGGGTGACAGGACAAGAGGAAACAGCCTCACGTTGTGCCAGGGGAGGTTCAGGTTGGGTAGTAGGGAAAATTTGTTTACCAAAAGGATGGTCAGGCCCTGGCACAGGCTGCTCAGGGCAGAGGTGGAGTCAGCATCCCTGGAGGCATTTAAAAGGCAGTTTTAAAGAGGACATGGGTTAGTGGTGGCCTTGGCAGTGCTGGGTAAACAGTTGGACTCAGCTGGCTTTTCCAACCTGAACAAGTCCACGATTCTTTGATTTCATGATTGATCCGAGTTAATGTTGAAAAGTCAGGTTGATGCTGTACTGGCTGATGCCAACAGTCTCTGCAGTCCTGCCTGCAAAGGGTTCAGGCTGTGATTAGTGATCCGAGTGACAACCTCGAGCTTTTATCTGCAACATTTATCAGCGTTATGAGCAGCAGAGGTTGGACTCATGTTTCCCAGATGAGATGAGATGGGAAACATTGCCAGGGAGTTAATACTTCCCTGCCTTAATGAAGCAGTCGAGGCTTTGCTGTGGGAGGAGAGACAATACATTTGCAGTGCATTAAGGTATTATTGTAACCACGTTTGTGCTGAAAGGTTTCTGATCCTCCGAAATAAAGATGAGCAGATTTGTCTCAAATTTATCAATGGAAGCAGAGTTCCCATTGAAATGGGAGGGAGGGGAGGGTGGTTGAGATCCTGCTCACTGCCACAGCTGGGCTGCCACTCTCTGCCCAGCTGCTGGTGCTAACAGGGGACAAGGGGGGGTTTGGTGGGTGAAAAAGAACCCCAAAAAGCTACCTGGGAGATGTTGGGATTCATCAAGAAGGAAGGAACATTTCAAGGTGAAAGAAGGATGATAGGGCAGCCCCGAGGCTGGGAATAACTGAGAGTCACAGTGAACATCCTGAGATGTTTTGTGCAGCCAGTGTTCCCCTGGGGAGGGATGCTGGGTGGATTCCCTCATGGTCTGGGTCTGGCTGTGTGAAGAGGAAAGCTCTGTGTCCCCTCTGCTGGAAAATCTGCCCTGAGAAGGGCATTAGGGGAGGAAAAGCGTGATGCTTGCTCTGCTTCTTCAGAGAAGCTGCATCTGCTGTTCCAGGGCAGCCCGTAGGTAATTGCACAGGGGGATTTCTTAAATGGACATTAGGAATAAAATCAAATTTGTGGAGACCAGATGCAGCAGAGGAGATGGATGAAAAAGCAGAGGGAAATTTGCAGAGGGAAGTCTGAGACATCTTGCATTAGACAGCAAACCATAGCCTTGAGGAGCAGGTTTGATGCTGCACTGAGCTCTGAGCTCACAGGAAAGCTCTGTCTGGGTCAGGCACCACAGAAATGTCCCTTCTCCTGCCCCTGTGCTCAGAAATCCAGGATTTGGGACTTGACCTAGACCACCTCTGTTGCTGCCTGACAAATTTTGGGCTTGCTGCAGTTCCTGGATGCAAATCCCTCTGGGGAAGTGGTGGAGGCTCGTGGAGGAGGTGATGCTGCTGCTGCATCCCTGATGATGATCCAAACCTGGGCTGGAAACCCCAGGAGAAGGCAGGAGCTGTGGGGATATGGCTGGAGAGGAGGTGATCTGTCCCTCTGGCTGCCCTCTGCCTGCAGCTATGTTGCTGCCTGGTACAGCTTAATTGGCTTTGATAGGATTACAGGGAAGCAGCCGAGGAGTAAACAGGGCCAGGAGGACACACCATGCCTGGGGCCACCAGCCCCTGGAGAAATCCTTTGAGCCAGTGACTAAAGCTGCAGGAGTTCAAGGGTTAATGTCGGTGTGGGGTAAGGGCTTAATCCTTCTGGTTTCAAGGGAAGTATTTTCCTAGCAGCATCCCAAAAGTCTGTGGCTCCATCATTAATTCCTGATGAGTTTGCCCCTGACAGATTCAGAGTAAATCATGGCAACTATGGAAGTTACACCTTGTTGCCTCCAGCATTGTGTCCTCAATGAATGTTTATGGTTTGAAGCAGCCTTGTTTGTTTGCCTTAGACCAGAGGACATTGATTTATTGGCAGAAATCCTAGCAGGGAAAAAGGATGAGCCAGGCAAGTTTTTGACTGCTACACACGACTATGGTGAGGGGATGATGGTTATTTCATGTTTCTGAAAATAAAGCCTCAAACTTGGATGGGAACTTTTGCCAGGAATTTTTCTCAACCTGCAAGCAACAAGGGGAGCTCAAGGGTTAATGGTGTTCCAGGGCTTTGCTTTCTGCTTTATCTGGGGTTTGGGATGGCTGGAAGATGCTGTGGGTTGGAAAGGAGGGGTGGATGCTCCTACTGGGAGCATGTTGCTGATGAACATTATGAACTGCTGTAGGAATGATGGGGAAGCAGTACTGGGGATCCAGTGCTTCAATACCCCCATCCCAGGAGAGCTGGACCCTCAAGGAAAACAGGTCTTAAAAGTGAGGCTTAAAGCCATGGATGGAGATGGTGACAAGAGACTTGTGTCCAAGCCTGGGGCAAGGTGACATGACCTAGAGATGAGTGTCCCTGCGTGGAGTTGTGAGTCAATGTCCACCTTTTCATCCACGCCTTGCTGGGGCTCATTCCTGTGGGAATCCTCCTTGATTTCTGGTGGCAGAGGTGTTTTCCACTCTGTCAGCAAAGAAGAAGGTGAGCTCAGCTCACTCAGACTCCATCCACGCTCTTCAGCTGCCATTTAGAGCTCAGACTCAGCTCTTACACCAATATTTGTTGTTGTTCCTCCCCCACCCAGATTTGTGTATTTTGTACAGCTTGTTTCTGATTTAAGGTATAAATAAGTTTAATCTTTTCATCTTTTGTTCTCCTTACCTTCTGGAGGCTGTGCTGGTTAAAAATAACCAGGAAGATGAGCTCAGATGAGGATGGTGGAGGGGTTTTAAACTTCATCATGGTGGGCCCACCCATCTGGCTCTGGAAGGGAAAGTGGTCTCCCTTCTCACTTCTCCCCAGCCCTCATGGCTGAGCTCTTGGTCCAGTGGAAGGTGTTCCCGCCATGGCTCGGGTGTAGAATGAGATGAGATATAAAGTCCCTTCCAACTCAAAGCATTCCATGATTCTTTCCTAAGCCAGAGCTCTCTGAATTGCATAAACCCCACTTGTCACATGATTGGGGATTGAAGTGCTTCTGCTGTTGGGGTGAGTTGTGAAAATTGGAGGGGGGGTTGATGGGGGTGCAGAGATCAGAGGTTGTCCCTGATCCACGTCTCCTGGAGACAGGGTGTTTTCCAGCGCTGAGTTCCTGCAGAGGAGGTTTTTCACCTGAAAAAGTCCCTTTTGCCCAGAATTGAACCATTTGCATAAGATCAGCTGAAGGGAGAAAGAAAAAAAAAAAAAAACCAAACCACAACAAACTGAAGGGTTTTGGTTTTGTTGCTGGAAAGTCTGAAAGACAGATTTGGGTCCAGCCTGAAACCTCCCTGGCCGAGGGCTGGCTCAGCTTCGCTTCTCTGTTTATTTTGAAGGGGAGCACACGCACACACACACGTGTGTGCACATACATATGCACACGCTCTCCTAGACAGAAAAAACAGTCCCCAGCCTAACCCAGACGCTGATTCAAACCAACTGTTGTCTCTGGCTGCGCTGTCGGCTTTCCCCTGCCCACAGCCCTGCCACCGCGTGAAACCGTGGCTGAAAACCAACAGGCAACCCCCAAAATCCAGAATAAAAATCGCATTTCACGTAGGGAAGGGCAGAAAAACTCTTTCTAGGCAGCGGTTCTGCCAGAAAAAAAACCTAAAAAAAACCCAAAAACCCTCTCCCTGCTTGCAACCCGCTGAGCATCAACGGATGCTCTCACAGGAGACTGTGAAGCCCCTCGGCGCTGTCTGGGGGATGGATGGGGGTCCCCCAGGCAGGGCCAGGGGAGGGGCTGTCCGCAGCTGGCGGGGTCTGCGGGGCAGGGCCGGGGGCTGGTGGGTGTCTCCGGGAGCGGTGACCGAGTGAGGCGGTGCTAGGGCTGGGGGCGGATTTTTTAAGAAGAACCTCAGCTCTTCAGAGCAGCGGCAGCCGCCGGAGGAGTTGACCGGCTGGTTCCCCCTCTCCGCCCGGAGGAGGAGGAAGAGGAGGAAGAAGAGGCTTCGGCTGCCGCCCCCCCGATCCCCCCCCCCCCCCCCCCCCCTTCCCCTTCCGCCCCACACCTTTATGGACGAGCGCCGGAGCTTGCTCTACTCCCCCGCCGCCTCCTCCGCCGGTCGGCACCCGCGGGGCGGCTCGACCAGCAGCCACCACAACCTGGGCTACACCGAGCCCCCCGCCGCCCCCCAGCCCGGCCCCGAGCAGGAGGAGGAGGAGGGCGAAGAAGGGGAGGAAGGCAGCATGACCGTGGTGGAAGGCGGCGGAGGAGACCCTTTGCTGGAAGAACCGCAGCCTCCCGCCGCGCTGCTCGGAGGGGAGCGCTACGAGCAGCCCCCGGCCCCGGCCCCGCCCGCCGGGCAGCCCGCGGGCGGTGGGGAGCACGAGTGCTGCGAGCGGGTGGTGATCAACATCTCGGGGCTGCGCTTTGAGACCCAGCTGAAGACGCTGGCACAGTTCCCCGAGACGCTGCTGGGGGACCCACGGAAGAGGATGCGCTACTTCGACCCCCTGCGCAACGAGTATTTCTTCGACCGTAACCGCCCCAGCTTTGATGCCATCCTCTACTACTACCAGTCGGGAGGGCGCATCCGGCGGCCCGTCAATGTCCCCATCGACATCTTCTCCGAGGAGATCCGCTTCTACCAGCTCGGGGAGGAGGCCATGGAGAAGTTCCGGGAGGACGAGGGTTTCATTCGGGAGGAGCAGCGGCCGCTTCCCGACAAGGAGTTTCAGCGCCAAGTGTGGCTCCTCTTCGAGTACCCTGAGAGCTCTGGGCCGGCCCGAGGCATTGCCATCGTCTCTGTCCTGGTCATCCTTATCTCTATTGTCATCTTCTGTCTGGAGACGCTGCCTGAATTCAGGGATGACCACGACTATGAGGGAACTGGGGGGGACCCTTGGGACAGGTGGTGGCCCACTCCCAGCTGAAGTCTTCACCAACTCCTCGTCCTCGGCTGCTTCCATGGTGTCGTCCTTCACTGACCCTTTCTTTGTGGTGGAGACTTTGTGCATCATCTGGTTCTCCTTCGAGCTGCTGGTCCGTTTCTTTGCCTGCCCCAGCAAGGCCACCTTCTCCAAGAATATCATGAACATCATTGACATTGTGGCCATCATTCCCTACTTCATCACTCTGGGCACTGAGCTGGCGGAGAGGCAAGGCAATGGCCAGCAAGCCATGTCCTTGGCCATCCTCAGAGTCATCCGCTTGGTTCGGGTTTTCCGCATCTTCAAGCTCTCCCGGCACTCCAAGGGGCTGCAGATCCTGGGACAGACCCTCAAGGCCAGCATGCGGGAGCTGGGCCTGCTCATCTTCTTCCTCTTCATCGGCGTCATCCTCTTCTCCAGCGCCGTTTACTTTGCAGAGGCCGATGACCCCAGTTCGGGTTTCAGTAGCATCCCCGATGCCTTCTGGTGGGCCGTGGTGACCATGACCACGGTGGGCTACGGGGACATGCATCCCATCACTATTGGGGGCAAGATCGTGGGGTCTCTCTGTGCCATCGCGGGGGTGCTGACCATCGCCCTCCCCGTGCCTGTGATAGTCTCCAATTTCAATTATTTCTACCATCGGGAGACAGAAGGTGAGGAACAAGCCCAGTACATGCACGTTGGGAGCTGCCAGCACCTCTCGTCCAGCGAGGAGATGAAGAAGGCTCGCAGCAATTCCACCCTCAGCAAGTCCGAATACATGGTCATCGAGGAAGGGGGGATCAACCACAGTGCATTCAAACAGGCTGCCTTCAAAGCAGGCAACTGCACAGCCACAAACAATCCCAACTGTGTGAACATCAAAAAGATCTTCACGGATGTTTAAAAAAAAAAAAAAAAATCCCAAACCAAACAAACAGCAACAAAACCCTGAGGATGCGGTAAAATGACACCAATAATGATAATAACAATAATAATGCAAAGTGACTGTGTGTCGGTGTTGTGTGGAACATGCACCATCGTCGGTCTGTGTGTGCCCTCGTTTTGATATGGGTTTTTTTTTAGATCCTTCCTTTCTAAAGATCCAAAAATAAAAGGATTTAAAATTCTCCAAAGAAGAGGACGGCTAAAGGGTAACAAGACAAGGAAGATGAAGACAAACCACACTCACTGTCGAAACAGATGTTCTGCAACGTGTTGCAGGGCAGCTTTGCTTTGTGGGGTTTTGGGGATCCTCTCGCTTTGCTCCTGAATTTCCTCCCCCTTTCCCTGAAGGCAGCGTGTAGCCGATTTCCCTGCCGTCACATAAGCTCAGTTGTTGGATTAACAACCCCGGGTTGGGTGGGGGAATGAGGAAAACATGTAGCCGAGAGCACTGGGAGGGGGTTGGGAGGAAATAACCGTTTAATTTTGCAGAGAGTCTCTGTTACCACGTTGTTAAACAATGCTTTATATTGAATCCTGTGATGTGCCATTATGGGCACATCACAGATTCCATTTTTTTTTTCCCATTAGATTGTTGATGAAATTCTAATCTGGTCAGAGACTGAGTGCAATCAATGCTGATTTAAATAGAAAAAAAACCCCAACCCAGAGCCCTTGTTTTTTGTTCTTAGTTCCCTTCCCGTGTAACCCGATGGAATTATTCCATCCAATTTGATCTGTGCAGAGGGTCTGCGTGTGGGGAGGAGGGAAGGGAAAGGCACAGTGCAATGGTTTCGGGAGCCAAGAGAGATGCCAGCGTGGACCAGGGGATGCAGGATCATCTCTGGGCAGCCTCCAGCCCACCCAGGCAGAGACAAAGGGATGTTTCCTCCTTTTTTTTGCAATGCTTTTGGGAGAGATGCAGCCTCTTATCGCAAGAAGATTAAAGCGGTGAACACGCCTTCCAGCGGAAGTCACTGATTCCAACCAGGAGTGATGCAGTTGCCATGGCGACCCTGGTTTCCTGGGAAACCCCAAAAGGTTGTCATGGCATCCCTGCTCCCATCCCCCTTGGTCCTCGCTCTTCCTGCGAAAAAAACCTTTTTCCAGATGGTTCCAGCCCTGCCATCCCGCAGGACATCGTGGCTTCACACCCCCTTCCCGGGCCACGTCCCCTGTGCCCAGTAAGGCCCCCCCAGGCAATAAACACCTCCAAATCCACCTGTCCCTTGCTGAGGAGCAACTTTGGCAGGGAGATTTGGGGATGGAGGTTCATCCTGCTCCACCAAGAATGACTCCAAACCCAGTGGGAAACAGTCCTGAGCGGGAAGCTCGGCTGGGAAACCTCAGCAGCTTTGGGAGACAAGGGGGACAGGAGAGAGCAGGATTGAAAAATAACCAAAAACCCCACCAGGGAAAACTCACCACCTTCATCTTCACGTGTGCACCAGGGGCCACGGGACATCTGAAGGGATCAGGTGAGCTTTGCACGGGACACAGTTTAATGGAGTCACAAAGGAATGTTGCTCTTTTGGGGGACACACCCCATGCTTTCCACTGCTTAATTTTATTTTCCAGCCTATCCTGCTGCTCTTGGGTATTTTTATAAACTTTAGATAAAGTGGGATCACTTCTTATAGCTCCTCTGATTATATTTGCTGTTCACTTTACTTTTTAGTGCTATGGTAGGAAGGAATCTCTACTGCTTCTCTGCGGATGGATTTCTTCAATTCTGTGATAAAAAGGTGGTTTTCAGTGGTTTAATGCTTCCAGCTCCAGGCTGCTCAGCCTTGAGGACCTTGGCTCTGACTCTCCTCAGTTTTGCTGGATTTTGGGTTAAAGAAAGCCAAATTCCTTTGGGGTAGCACACGGCAAAGGTGTTCAGAAGAGAGAGTTCTGGCCCCAACCTGTGCAAGTAACACTTTTCCCAAGGGTGTGGAGAGGGGGATTTGCCCTGAGAGATGCCAGCCATGCCAAAATCAGAGTTTAGCTGGGACTTTATCCCAATTTTAAAGGATCTGGACAGTTTGTAACACTCTCCCTTAGCCCCAAGAAAAACATCACAGCAGCTCCTTGGCTCCTGGTGTGTGATGGTTTTATTGGAGCTTCTGTAGTTCTCATCAGCTGAGGGTCAGACAAATGATCTTTATTAGGAAGATGCTCTGGAGCATTAAAGCAAGTTACAAACCTGAGTTCCCTTATCCAGGATAACTGGAATTCCTTGTCTGGGATAACTGGGAACACCCCAACTTGCCTTTTGCCCAGGCTGCCAGTAGGCTGAAATATCATTTCTGCCTATGAGTTCTCCCTTTTTGTTGTTATTAACTTTTATTGTTACTAAATTTTATTGTTATTAAAGCTTTCCCACAATGCGTATTCCTAAAAGGAGGGTTTGAGTTTAAAAGGAGTGGAAACATCTCATTTGGAGAGTTTGCAGATGAATTTTTTTGTCTCTGTTTTCCTCGTGGCAGCTGCTCAGGGTACGGAAACCACATGTGCTCCTGGAAACAGCACAGAACAATTTTCGGTTTCTCTGCCACCTAAAATAAGCACAAACCTTGCAGGTTGTTGATTTGTCTTCCTGACTCCTCCCTGCCTGATTTTGTAGGGTCAGAATAGTTTCAAATGGATTTGATTGATGGTAAATGGTGCTGGATGGGAGAGGTGGCAAGGAAACCACTTCACCCACTTGAGTAAAAGGCAGTTTTTCTCCAGTAGAATCATCAAATGGTTTGGGTTGGAAGGGACCTTGGAGATACAGTTCCACCCCCTGCCATGGGAAGGTACACCTTCCACTAGCCCAGGTTGCTCCAAGCCCCGTCCAACCTGGCCTTGGACACTTCCAGGGACGGGGCAGCCACAGCTTCTCTGGGCAGCCTGTGCCAGGACCTCCCCACCCTCCCAGGGAAGAATTCCTTCCATATATCCAACCTAAATGTCACCTCTTTCCATCTGAAAAAAGTGCTTTTCAGTACTGAATGGGATCACTGAAAAATATAAAATCACTGCTGCTCTTTAGATGCACCCAGAAAATGTAAGTGGAGAACTGGGGGTATCCTTGTGATGGTCTACCCTTTTTCCCTCAGCATCTTCCCTCTCTGCTTGTAGGTTCAATGAGAAAGTGAGCAACCTGAGCCACCTGGAATAGTGGAAGATGTTCCTGCCCATGGCAGGGAGGTGGAACTGTATGGTCTTTAAGATCCCTTCCAAGCCAAACCATTCTGTGATCCTACTATAAATACTTTCTGTTCCGTGGTCTGGTGGTTTCTCCGGGTCTGGCTGCTGCACGTGTTGTGTGAGGAATTGGAGAGATCATTGAAAAACTGCTCTTTCCACACCAGCTGTTATTAAACTGGCTCTTCTCTCTTGCCATGAGCCTCCTGTTAGGGGACCAGGGAGTGTTTTACAGTCCCTGGGGAGTTAAAGATGAGCCTCAGCCTTCACAGCGTGTTGGACTCAACTGTTCCTAATGTGCTTAGAGGGGCAGCATTAGGGGATTAGTATTAGCAGAGCTGCTGCCTGCTGTCTGCAAGGCAAAGGGCTCCTCCAGCCTCAGCTTATTACATTAAATGGAGGAAAGGGCATTACCACAACTCCTGGCTGACATTTCCCAGTGCCCAGACCGTGAGCACGGGGAAGCAGGGACCCTGGAGCACTGGTAATCCCCATCTCGGCCCCAGGGATGCTCTCAGAAATGTCCTCCTCCTCCCCTGTCCTTCTGGTCACCTTCGAGACAAATTACACTGCTGGCACCGCAGGATGGGAGCAGGGGATGCAGCCCTGGGAGGCTGGAGCTGTCTCCATGGATGTTTTCAGTATATCATAGAATCATAGAGTGGTTTGGGTTGGAAAGGACCTTAAAGATCATCTCATTCCAACCCCCAGTATAGAGGCACTGGGTGCTCTAGAGCCTTGTACAGCCTGCTTCCCCTTTTCACAGGCTCCCTTTCCCTTTGCCTTTCCCTGTGTTTTATTCCCCTGTTTCAGCCCTTGGTGCCACCTCAAAACACATCCTTGGTACCGGGGGCTGCAGGGGACACCAACAACCCCAACCCTGGCCCCTCCACGTGGTACTTTGCCACCTTTTTCTCCTGTTTCTTTGCCCTCTTGTTTTTGTTCGTGTTCAGACCTGAACTCTTCTAAAAAGGTCTGTTGTTCTCCGGCACAATAGATGCCCTTTGGGTGCTTGATGTGGCCGAGGAGCAGAGCAGTAGCTATCCCACTGCACTGGTGGACACAGACAAGGGCTGGAGGTATCTCTTTCCTCCAGGAGGGTTAAATTTCTTCCCAGGCAATTGTTCCTGCTCTATCCCTTGACAAAAGAGGTCGGGTTTTGTTGTTAATCCCCACTTTATGGGCAATTAAGCAAGGCAAAGGGCAGAGAAGTGCTTTCCCCAGCAGAGGGAAAGGAGCCATCCAGGGTCATCGGCTCCAGAGGGGTCTTTCCTGCGGGGATAACACAGGGAAAGGGTCTCTTGCAGTGGCTGGTGTGTACGGAGAGCGTTCTGTGTAAAATCTCTTTAATTGTGTAGTTTGGAGCCCTCTCCTGCCAAGCTTTTAAAATATGCACATCCTGGTGAGAGCACACGGCGGCTCCAGCGCAGCCCGATGGAAGCAGGGCTTTGTTTCCCCCATTTTTAAATGCTTAACAAGTAATCTCTGGGTGGGCTGCAAACACGGGAGTGCAAATGGACAAAAAGGATACAAAATTAACTTATTTTGCCCTTCAGTTTGCTGTCTGTATCGGGAAGGAGAGCTCAGAGCAGCCTCGGCAAGGGCAGCCGTGTGGGCACAGGGAAATAGGGGATTTCTGGTCATCTTTGTCATAGGTGACCTTTAAGGTCCTTTCTGACCCAAAACATTCCATGATTCTACAATTATAAGGTGCTGTGGGCAGGGCTATATTCTATAAATTGTCTCCTTCACTGCTCTCCTGCTCTGGGTCCCACCCATAGTCTGAATGGGGTACTTTGCTTGACTCTGGGGGTGTGGCAGAGCTGGAGGATGTGTTAAGAATGGGATATTCCTGCCTTTTCCCGTTTTTCTGGGTGCTGTTGAC